ATTGGGACCAGCAGGTGGCATGGTAGCTAAGGTGATAGACTTCCACTTAGTTTGCTTCCTGAATCTAGTGGTTTAAAACTCACACTGGGAGGGGCCTGCAGATGGCAAATGGCTACACTGCTAGAATCCCACAAGGCTGTCTGTGGTTTGAGTCCCGGACCTGGTGGTTTGAAAATCACGCTGGACTGTGTGTGCATGCCCAAGGTCCCAGGAGGAGAATGGAGGAGAAGGGATTGTAATATGGCCATCCCCCAGGAGGCAATTTCTTACTTTCCTTCCCACTCTCTCTTTCTCTGTCTTTTTCTCTCTCTTTGCCAACACATACACTCTAAGACAAAAACCTCTTAAAAAATAAAAAAAAACAAAAGAGCAACTCACACCAGGCATGTGTATGTGCATGCCCAAAATCTGCAGCAGGGAACAGAGAAGGGAGGGCAGTGTGGCCATCCTCCCTGGGAGGTGATTCCTCACTTCCCCTCTGTCTCTCTCTGGTGAGCAAACGTGCCCTATGGCAAAAAAAACAAAACAAAACAAAAGTACAAAAAAGCCCTCCTAAAAAACAGAAAAACAGATAGTGTGGTAGTTAAGGGCATTGGACTCCCACATGGTTGACCACAGTTTAAGTTTTAGACTTGGTGGCTTGCTTTCTCACTTTCTTTCTCTCTTCCTCATTCTGCCCCTTTCTGGTCAAATTTAAATAATTTTTTATTTAATTTTATTTATTCATTCATTTATTTATTTTTATATTTGATCAGAGAGAGAGAGAAAGAGGAAAAGTGAGAAATCAAACCACCAGGTTCGGGATTCAAACCGTGGTTGGCCATGTGGGAGTATCTAGCGCATTAATCACACCATCTGCTGACTCCCCTTTCTGGTCAAATTTAATAAATAAATGAATGGATAAATAAAGTTAAATAAAATAATTCTTTAAAAAAAAGGAAATCCATAAATATTTTCTTAATATAATTTTCTGGGCTGGCTGGTGATGTGTTGGTTAAGGGCACTGGACTCCCATATGGCCAACCACTGTTTGAGTCCCAGACCTGGAGGCTTGTTTTCTCACTTTCCCTGTCTCTCACTCTGTCCCTCTCTGGTCAAATTAAAATAAATAGATAAAACTAAATAAAAGATAACTCTTTAAAAAATATAATTTTCGGAAGACCTTTTGTGTAATAGCCTGGTATGTAATAGTAGTTCAATAAATGTTTTTAAATAAAAAGTCTCAGAGGGATAATGTAAAAAAGCTTTCATCTTCTTCTGGAATACCTGTTATTTCATAACCTGGAATACACTGGGCCTTCCAGTTGTTCTCGCTGGCATCTGCTTTATCCTCCAGCTATAATTAAATAGTATCTCCAAATGTGCCATATTGACATCATCTGTACTTTTCTGTCACATTCTCCAAGTCTTTTTATAAAGCTTATTTATTTCTTTCACAAGAGAGAGACAAGTAGTCTTAACAGAATCTCATACATGCATTCCTGTCATATTCAGCATGACCCACACTGTACATATGGCTTCCAGCATGCAGAGTATTACACTATTTCTACACCACAGTGACTGGGCCTTGGTTGTAATTTTTTAAAATTTGGTGAGTAGACTTTTGTTATTAAAGGAATGTTGCAATGTTATAGTTAGAGAGTATTCTGGCATATTAATACATGTTTCTAAAAAAGTAGGTGATGATTAAGACTGAAGTCTCAGGGCTGACAGGCGGCATGGTGGTTAAGGGCACTGTACTCCCACATTGCTGACTGCAGTTTGAGTCCTGAACCTTCTCACTTTCCCTCTCTCTCTCTCTCTCACTCTTCCTCTGCCCCTCTCTGGTCAAATTAAAATAAATAAATGAATAAAATTAAAATAAAAAAAATATTTAAACAGAAAACAAAAAGACTGAAGTCTCACAACAAAAGCACAAATAGACAAATGAGATTACATCAAACTAAAAACTTCTGATAGAAAAAGAAATATTAACTGAATGAAAAGACAACCTATAGAATGGGAGAAAATATTTGCAACTGCATTTGACAGGGGATTAATATCAAGACTATATAAGGAACTTAAACAATATCAAACAGCAAACAAATCCCAAATAATCTATTTTTTTTTTTTACCATAGGACATGTGTAATCACCAGAGAGAGATAGAGACAGAGAGAAAGTGAGAAATCACCCCAACAGGACAACCACACTGCAATCTCTATTATCCTCTCTGGATTTTGAGCATGTGCACACACACACACACACACACACACACACAAATTTTGGACTTGAACTGTGGTTGATCATGTAAGAGTCCAGCACCTTAATCACCATGCCACTTGCTGGCCCCAACAGTATGATTTTTAAAAGTGAACAAAATTCCTCATTTCTCAAAAGAGGACATACAAATGGCCAACAGGTATAAGAAAAAAATGTTCAACATCATTAATTATCAGGGAAATGAAAATCAAAACCATATGAGATAGTATCTCATCACAATTAGAATGGATTTTGTAGAAAAAAAAAAAACAAATTCTGGCACAAATGTGAAAAAGGGGGAACTCATACACTGTTAGTAGGAATATAAATTAGTATAGCCACTATGGAAAACAGTCTGGAGATTCTTTGAAAATTAAAAATGAAACTACCATATGATTCTGTAGTCCCACCATTGAGTATATATACAAAAGAAATAAAATTTATTCAAAGAAAAAGCAGTACTCCCATGTTAGTAGCAGCACTATTCACAAAGCCAATGTATGGAATCAATTTAAGTGTCCATGAATGGAAGAATAGGTAAAGAAAATGCAGTATATATACACATTGGAATACTATTCAACCATAAAAAAGAATGAAACCTTGTCATTGAGGCAATATGGATGAACCTGGAGAACATTATTTTAAGTGAAATTAGTCAGGCACAGAAAGACAAATACCTTATGATCTCACTCAATGAAATCTAAAGAAGTTACTGTCATAGAACTAGAGAGTAGAATGGTGGTTACCAAAGCTAGAGAGGGTTGGAGAAGGAAGGAATAGAGAGATATTAGGTAGTAGATACAAAGTTATAGCTAGAAGGAATAAGTTCTGATGTTCTTGAATGTTCTCACTACAAAGAAATGTGTATGAAGAGATGAATATGCTCAATACCCTGATTTGATTCTTACATGATGTACAGAAACTTCACACTGTATATATAATTATGTATAATTATTATAAGTTGATTAAAACAAACAAGAAAATAATGAAAAGAAAGTATGTGTGGGCTGGAGAGACTGAAGCATCAGAACCTCCCTGAGACTGCCTGGATTTAAATCCTACCTCTGCCTCTTGATAGCTGTGTGATTTTGAGCAGATTTCCCATTCTCTTTGCGAACCTCCATTTCCACATGACAAAAGAGAAACAACTATTTTATTTATATCATGGACTTGTTTGAAGAATTATTATACATTAATATATTGACATATAGGAGTTCAGAACAATGCCTGATACATAGTAAATTCTCAGTCTATAGTCAATATTATATTATTAAGACTACTATTAATTTATTATCTTTTCCTATCTTCTGCATGTCAATTGAGCAAATGGCTAGCTCTGTACTGAGCTGCCTCACAGACCTGTGGCAACAGAGTCAAAGCCTTCTGCTTTCCAAAAATCCTTGGAGGAATCTACAATCTGAGACAGAGATTTGCCACTGCAAATTAACATATGTTCAATAGTACCCAATATATTAGGTTGTTGGGAAAGTCATGATGTATTTTTCTATGCAAAAATGTATCATGACTTTCCTGATGACCTGATAATTAAGAAACATGCTAAGTTACTAGGACAGGTATGAGGGTCCTGGGGTGGTAGTTCTGAGAAGGGTAGAAGAAAGGAAGGAAGTTTACAGCATGAATAAATTAACTCTTCCTTAAAGAGAACAGGACAGAGTCTGTCTAAGGAGACAGATTAAACACATTCACAAACACAAACCATAATTTTATAAAGATCAATTGAGTGCTAAGAAAAATTGGTTAGAAAATAAATAGCTTGTTCATAATATAGTAAACTTTCCCTATTCACATGGATATATTTTTAGACACACACCCCTCCTCCAGCCAACCTAGTGGATACCTGAAACCATAAATAGTATTGAATTCTGTATATACTAAGTTTTTCTCCATACGTACATACCTGTGATAAAGTTTAATTTATAAATTAAGCACATTAAAGAGCTTAACAACAACAGTTATCAATAAAATAGAACAATTGTAACAATCTAATGTAATGAACCTTATATGAATGTGGTCTCTCTTTCTCTTTCAATATTTTTCAGACAATGGTTGACTGTGGGTAACTGTAGACAAAAGGAGACCACTGTAGTAGCAAAACTATAAACTACCTAGGAACAAAGCTAACAAAAAAGTACAAAATTTTTATGTGGAAAAACACCCTTCACAGGGCCTGGTCATGTCATGATTCCTTCCTTTAGCCCTCTGGCTTGTCAAGATCTTGGGTGTGCAAGTTCCTGGCACATTTCAGATTGGTTGGGCTGGGAATTCAAACCCATGGTCAGCCATGTGGCTTCCAGCACTGGAGTGCAGTACACTACAGACTGCATTACCAAGGTTGGCTGAACCCTATCTTAGTACAGGCAGGTGGTTTGCCATTTCATAATCCAAGGGCTTCCTTAGTTTGTAAGAATTTCTGTAAAATACTGAATAAATTGTCTCAATAATTAAAGATAAAAAAACTCAAACCAAGTATTTTAAAATAACATCTAGAGAGACTTTCATTTTTAATAAAAAATAATGAATTCTATTATTAGTTTTTATCTTTCCTTCTGGCAAAGACATCTTCAATTTTTAAGTGTTTGCCAAGGAAACAAATGACCTTCTGCCAACCCATACTGATGTATTTTCTTGTTGTTAGACCAGAATTCCTTCAAGAATACAGCAAGTCTTCCAAGAATTTTTTTAATATCAAAGTTTTAAGCATAAAGTAGATTATTTAAAAATATAAGGAGACATTCTTACTTGGTCCTCAAAAGATAGAGCCTGGGCAACATCTCTTGGAAATCCATCAATAACAATGCCCTCTTCATCAGGTATTTGCATCAACTTCTGCTTTATCTCTGTAATTGTTGTTTCCTTTTATAAAAAGAAAAGATGAAAAACCACAGTTAAGCTTAGCACAGTTACCAATGTGTACAAATGTTCACAGAATAGGAGCAAACTACACAGCAGTACCTGAGGGGCCAATTCTCCAGTTGTAATGATCTTGGCAATAAGACTCCATTTCCTATTGCTGCTGGTACTGTGGATCTTCTTTCTTAGTAATTCTCCCACTGAAATGTATTGGAATCCATAACGTTCTGCGATTTTCAAACTCTGAGTACCTTTTCCACTTCCTGGACCACCTATTATTTACAACAGGCAAAATCATGATCTTCTGATAAAACAAAGAACTCCCTTTCATACAAGTGTTATCTTTATTCAATATGTAGATTCTGCACCACCAGTGCCAGGGTGGGGTAACTGTTCCATGTGAGGCATTTTCAGTACTACCTCTGAATGCAAATCAAGTGGCAGCTTAGCCAAGAAAAGGGTAGACCCATCTTGACCAGCTGTATTAGATGAAAATATATTTTTTTCTCCTTTACCTATGTTAGCAAGTAACTTTTTTTTTTTTTTTTAATTTGGGGTGGGGGCCACTAGCACAGGTGGCCTAGTGGTTAAAGCGCTAGATTCCCACATGGTTGAATCTGTAGTTCTAGTCCTAGACATGGCGGCTTAAAAAACACACTAGGTGCATGCGTGTGTGTGCACAAAATCCTGAGAAGATGGAGAAGGGACTGCAGTGTGGGCATCCACTCTTGGGGGTGATTTTCCACTTTCCTTCCCTCTTTTTCATTCTCTCTGTGTCTCTCTCCAGCAAGTGTATGAGCCCATAAGCCAAAAATCTAAAAATATAAAATTGGGGGGGAAGGGCTGCACAGTGGTATAATGTTAAACATTACACAGTGTGAGGCTGACCTATGTGAGAAGGTTCCTAAATATGATGATCATCATCTGAGGCTGGCTGATGCTGAGGGTGGACCCTGTTAGGGATGCTGTCTCTCCTGTTATTTTTAAAATTTGAACACTTTTTAAAGTTGAATGAAACTTAAGACTATTTTTCTGTTTTTCTTCTGTAATCAAGAAAAATCCATGGGATACAAAAGATAATGATCAAAATAACAATAATGTGTCCCTTGCCAACAAGGAGTTCATGGGTAATTTGATGGAATATAATGATTTTTTTTTTCTCTTAAGAACTATTTTATTGGGACCAGCAGTTAGCATAATGGCTATGTTGCTGGACTCCCACCTAGTCCACTGCGGTTCACGTCCCGGACCCGGGGGCTTAAAACTCACTCCCGGTGTGTGTGTGTGCATGCCCAAGATCCTGAGAGGAGAATGGAGGAGAAGGGAGGAGAATGGAGGAGAAATCACCTGTGATTTCTCTTCTGTCTCTCTGTCTCTCTCTGTCTGTCTGGTGAGCGCACACACCTTATAGCGAAAACCTCTCAAAAAAAAGAACTATTTCATTTAACTTTATTTTTATTTACTTATTTTAATTTGACCAGAGAAGGTTAGAGTGAGTGAGAAAGAGAGAGAGAGAGAGAGAGAGAGAGAGAGGATGAGTGAGAAAGCAAGTTGCCAGATTTAGAACTCAAATCACGGTCGGCCATGTGGAGTTCGGTGCCCTTAATCATCAGCACACCAATGTTGACATAACTTATTTAAATATTTTTTTGAAATCTGTTTGCTCATGCATATTATTTATCTCCTTTGAATTAAAAAGTTTTGTGCATTGAATATACATAATGCACGGAATAGGTTCTATTTTTTTTTTTTTTTTGGAGGGGTTTTTGTTTGTGTCAATGTGAGAAAGACAGATAGAGACGGAGAGACAGAAAGTGAGAAATAACCCCATAGAGGGGATGGCCACGCTGCAATCCCTTCTCCTCCTTTTCCCTCTCGGGATCTTGGGCATGCACACACACACACGCCTGGCATGAGTTTAAGCCACTGGATCTGGGACTCGAATTGCGATCGACTACATGGGAGTCCAGTGACATAGCCATTATGCTAACTGCTGGTCTTGGAATAAGTTCTTAACTTAGAAAAATTTCATGGAATAACTGAATTTGGGATTCATGAAATAATCGACATTTTGCAACATAACTCAATATTAATCATCAGTAATTGCCATTTAAAAAACCATAAATAATAAAATCAATCATAAAATATCAATACTTATCTACCTCAGATTTTATTTCCAAATCAAAATGATATTTTTGCTTAGTTCATATTTCTAAACAATCTAGGTTAGTTAGAATCTAGAGACAGAATACATTTTTAAATAAAATAGAGAGTGAACTTGTGGCATGGTGGTTCAGGTGGCTGGCTGTACCCCACACATCCAACTGTGTTGAGTCCTAAAACTAGTGTCTTGAGAAATATGCTGGGTGCATGTGCATATGTGTTCAAAATCACAAAGGGAGGGAGAAGTGGAGAAGGGACTGTTGCATGATCATTCCCTATGTAGGATGCTTCCTCACTTTCCCTCTCTCTGTCTCTTTCCAGTCAGCATTTGTACCCTCTGGCTAAAACAAATAAAAAAGATAAATTAAAATACATAATGACCAGCACAGTTTGTAGTTATTTGATAGCAATTATCAAATGAAATGTTATCAAGGGCTTTTGTATAAATCATTGAATGCAGGCAAAACTTTTTTTAAGAGAGAGATTATTGTCTTTTTTGAGAGAGAGATAATTCTTTTTTCCTAAAGAATTATTTTATTTAACTTTATTTATTTATTTTTTAAAAATTTAAGCAGAGAAGGACAGAAGGAGAGAGAGAGAGAGAAAGGAGGAGAGCAAGCCACGTCTGGGACTTGAACTACAGTTGGCCATGTGGGAGTCCAATGCCCTTAACCACCATGCCACCTGCTAACCCCTTTTAGAGAGATTTCTTCCTAGGGTATGTGTGCTCACCAGAGAGACAGAGAGAAGCAAAGAGACAGCAAGCAAGAAACCACCCCACTCCCTCCACCACCAACCCCCCCCCTCCCCCGGGAGGAATGGCCACACTGTAGTCCCTTCTCCTCCATTCTCCAGGACCCTGGGCACACACACGCATGGGCCCAGTGTGAATTTTAAGCTGCTGGGCCAGGGACTCAAACCGCAATCGACTTTGTGGGACTCCCGCGATGTAACCATTATGCCATCTGCTGGTCCCGTAGATAAAACATTTTAAAAAATCAACATCTAGTAAGAAATAAAATGTTTTGGTAATATTCATTGAAATACAATTTATTAAGCAATATTGAAAATAAAAATCAATAGAAAAAAGAGTTGATGTTTTTCCTAATATTATGAAACTTTTATGGGTTGAAATAATTATAAACCTAATTATTTAATAAATATACATATTTTCTATTGCCAGAGGATTGATGAGCTCATGAGAGAGAGAGACACAGAGTGAGAGAAAGAGAAAGCACTCTCTAATGGAGCATAGTCATACTGTCATCATTTTTCCTTCCCTTCTCCATCCCATCAAAATTTTGGACACCTAGGGACCAGCAGTTAACGTAATGGCTATGTCGCTGAACTCCCATGTAGTCAACAGCAGTTCGAGTCCTGGACCCTGTGGCTTAAACTCACGCTGGGTGCATGTGCGTGCATGCCCAAGATCCCCAGAGGAGAATGGAAGAGAAGGAATTGCGGCATGGTCATCCCCCCAGGGGTGATTTCTTGCTTTCTGTTTCTCTGTTTCTCTCTTTCTGGCAAGTGCACACTCCCTATAGCAAAAACCTCTTTAAAAAATTTTTGGACACCTACACCTCCTCCCCCCATACTTCATTTCAAGTTACCAGGGCTGGGATTTGAACCACAATTGGCCATGCAAGATCTGTCTTTCTATATACAATGCTTAACCACTATGCTAGGGTATTGGCCCTTCAATGGATTTGTTTTATTCTTTCAAATAATAAAAGTAAAAAAGAAAAACAGGTTTTTTTTGTTTTCGTTTTGGTTTTGTAGGAAGAGTTCTCAGTGGGTAGATTTGGTTAGCAAAATCAGTTACTACAAATGTAACCACTTCTTATTCCCAATCCAAATAATGCACCTAATAATATTTAGCTTTCATCTTGTAATTGTTTTATTAAACGTAGTTTAGGAATTTGTTTACATTTTTCATCATTTTCTTTCTAAGACACTCTCAATCCTATCTTAAATAGAGTTATTGTTATGAACTCCTTCCAGAGTAAATTCTTTCCAAATCAAAAGTAAGTTTTGGTTCTATATAGCTGCTTTTGGCCTGTTAACATATGGATGAATTATGGATTGGCTTGAGGGAAAAAAGTTACATGATACACTTCATTAACAAACTCACACAGATTTAATCTTTGAAGAATTAAAATTATCTTTCAGAAACTATTTGCACACTTGATCTCTGAAACCCTCAAATTCAGAAACAATAAATTTCATTGAATTAAAAAAAATCCAAAGACTGAAAAAGTTATGGCACTTTCAAGGAATAAAACATTGTTATTTCACCAATTAATGGAGTAATAACAGACAGCAAAACATTATGATTGGCATGATAGAGAACATAGCATTAATTTATTAGATCCTTTTGAAACAGCCTGAGAGATTAATTTTATTTTCTTCTCCCTAAAACTAGACTGAGCTTAATTTTGTCCTATTTACTTATCTCTAATACTTACAAGAATCAGGAACCATTTAACTTAACTGAGATTTTATGTTTATGCTAATGTACGAGAGATTCTTATCTGCACCAAGAAGGCTAGTTAAAAAAAAAAAAATGTTGTAACACCAAAAGGGAAATTGTATTTATTTATATTTTAAGTTTTTCATTTTTTTTAAAAGAGAGTTTTGCTATAGGGTGCACGTACTTGCAGAGAGACAGAGAGAGACAGAAAGTGAGAAATCACCACTTCCATAGTGGGCATAGCCACACCATAATCCCTTCTCCTCCATTCTCCTCTTAGGATTTTGGGCATGCATACACATGCGCCCGGCATGAGTTTCAAGCCACTGGGTCTGGGACTCAAATTGTGGTTAACCATGTAGGAGCCCAGCCCATTAACTACTACCTGCTAGTCCCCACTTTTTAAGCATTTATTTCTTCTGAGAGACGGAGAGAGAGAGACAAACACAGGGGGATAGAGAGAGAGAAAGACAGACATTTCCAATAGTCTTCATGCTATAATCTACCCATGGCCTCAGTCAGCCTGAATCATGGGCATGTGCCTGTGTTTCCCTTGTGGACAAGGAGCCCCTCTGGGTGTGAACCCAGGACTTCCCATGTGGGTCCAGCAGCAAAGAGTGCTGCTTCACTGTGCCACTGCTGCTTCCCCTCCCTTTGTTAAGACATCGTGTTTATTTAATGTAATACCATGTACCTATCTGTGCCTCCTCCACACCTTTTTCAGATTGGAACTAATAAAAATTTGTAATGTTCAAATGCAATTATAATTCCTCAAAAGTTATAAAATTGCCTCAATGTTTCCAGAAAATGTAAGATTGACCTTCTTTCTTCCCTTTTCTCGATCCTCTAAAACTATTTCTACTCATCAGTTCTACATCATTCTTATAACACATAAAAATGTTACGATATAGGACGTAAGTTATTGATCAGAATCACAGCCTCGGGAAGCAAGTTGTTTCACTCAATAAAAAAGAACTGTGGCATGCTGGTTAAAGTGTTGGATTCTCACATGGTCAATTACAGTTCAAATCCTAGACCCAGTGGCTTAAAACTCAACATCGGGCACGTGTTTATGTGTGCCCAAAATCCTGAGAGGAGAATGGAGGAGAAGGGATGGCAGCGTGACCATTCCCAGGCGGGGGGGAGGGGGGATTCTTAATTTCTCTCTCTCTGTAGCTCTCTGGCAAGCACATGTACCCTAAGACAAAACCTAAAAAACAAACAAAAGAATTGTGAAATGGGGGATATATGAGCATTTACATCTTCTCCAGAGCTATTAATTTATTAAAATATTTCAAACATTTCTTTTTTTTAAAACGTGTGCGTGCCAGAGAGAAAGAAAGAAAGAGACAGTGAGAGAGAAAGTGAGAAATCACCTTCTGGGGGTGGGGGTGGGGTGGCCACACTACAATTTCTTGTTCTACATTATCCTCCTGGGATTTTGGGTACACATGACCTTGTTCTCCATTATCCTCCTGGGATTTTGGGTACACATGAAAATGTGCCTGACATAATTTTTAAGCTTCCAGGTCCAGGACTTGAACCATCATTAGTCGTGTGGGAGTTCAGTGCCTGAATCACCATGCCACTCGCTGGCTCCTCAATGATTTTCATATAAAATTGGCAATTCACAAAAAAATTACATATGTGGATTTTACACAAAGAGCAATTTTGTATTGTACCATTTTCATTAACAGTCAAGCCTTCATTTGTTCATCTTGCTAATTATCACAATCAATAATTGGCTAATAGCAACAAACAAAACAAAATTGAAAGAATGCATTCTATCCTCATATGAACCATAATATATGAAATAATTCCCTATAATTTCTACACTGTAGCTGTCTTCTAATAAAGTATTTCCTGTCTCCTAGGTAAGAACCTCAAATTTTTAAGCACCAAAAAAAAAATTTTTTTTTTCATTTTCGAGAATTGGGATTTATGATTTAATAGTGGCTACCAGAAGCCATATAGAAAATTTGACTTTTTGAAAGCTGATTTCTAAATTCTCTTCCTGTGAAACTTTTTCTTTCTTTCTTCCTTTCTTTCTTCCTTTCTTCCTTTTCTTTCTTTCCTTCTTTCTTTCTTTCTTTCTTTCTCTCTCTCTCTCTTTCTCTCTTCCTTTCTTTTAACAATTCAGGGCTAAATATATGTGCATTTTCGTTTTTATTGCACTTTGAATTGTACAGATGTTACTCCTTCTAGCCTGAAGAAACTTAAATTCTTGTTATACCTTAATGTGCTTATTTGTATGGTTTTTTCTAGTTGCCATTGTAATTTTCTTCAGAGCACAATTGCTCTGCACAGGGACTGTATATGTATACATTTGGCCCTCTGTTAACAGTTACTGGCTAAAATAGCTTCCAACATTTCAAGCTAGATTCTTGCTTTTGGTCATTCCTGTGAAAGCCGAGTCAAACTAGAAAGTGAGAAAATGACTACATATGTGACTTGTTCACAGATCTCTTCATGATTTTTATAGATTTTGCAAAAGTTAGAACTTGCGAGCGCTGTCAAAGTGTTTTGTTTAACAGAAATATTTGTTTTCAGAAATATTTAAAACATAGTATCTGTCTATGCCTTATGAAATGACATTTGGTTGATACTTTCATATTCAACTCAAGATTCATAGTGGCAGTTTAGAAAATGAACTCTTAGCATCATTATTTTGGTTAATACTTAGACATTATATGCTATATAAAACATTATTCTATTGGATTTGTCTGGCTAATAATATGGGAACAGTTTTTAATGTAGTTTGCTATAAGAAAGATTATTCATTTATGAGTCTTTACCAATTATTATTATTTATTTTCTCTCTAAAGTTAATAGTGAATAAAAATTCAGTTTGTTGCATTAAGGGAAAAAAAAACACATCATGTTTAGAAAACTTCTGATAGACTCAGTTATCTATGTTAAAGATTAAATAGGGCCAGCTTGGTGGTTAAGGTGGCTGACTCCCACATTGCTGTGTGTTTCAAGTCTTGGACTCCGTAGCTTGCAAGATACAACAGGTGTATGTGAGTGTGCACCCAAAATACTGAGAGGAGAAATGGAGGAGAAAGGACTTTGGCATGACCCCACCTGTGGTTGAGTGCTTTCTTACTTTCCTTCTCCCTCTCTCTGTCTCTGGTGAGGACACATACTCACTAGCCATTAATTAAGAAGAAAAAAATATTAAATAAAACCAAAGTACAATAAATCTTGAAGAGTTTACTAATTTTCAATTCATTATAGAGAATTTCTATGATGTGTAATGGGAATCTATAAAAATGTAATAGGTATTAGATTATGTAATTATAACAATTCCTATGTTATAGAAAATTATTCTCAAAATATTTCCATTTATTGCTTCTTGATATTTGTTCCTATTGCTTGTCATTATCCAACTAAGCATTTATGAATCACTGAAATTTTAAGAAATATAAATGTACAAATACAGTTAGAAATATTTTAAGAAAATTTTGTCTTCTGTCCTCATACCTATGACAAGAATGATTTTTGGTCGAGGTCTACTAGGATCGAACACTTCATATTCCTCGATTAACTCCGCAGTCTCGGACAGGTCCGTGTCACTTTCTATGGAGAATTGATGGATTGGAGGGAGTTGGTGATACCGCCGATATGGAAAGTTTGAATTTTCAGGCATTACTGCAAAAGAGTAAGATAACTTTGAAAAGGAAAAAAAGAGCATAATAAAACATTTTATACTAACAAATTAGTAAAATAAATTTAAAACTTCCTACTTTTTCTTAAAGAAACATATAATCAATATTTTGGGCTTTGAGGGCCTGGCAATCTCATATTCAATTTGGTCATGAGTGAATGAAAGCAGTAATAGACAATATATAAACAATATATAAACAAATGTGCATACCTGTATTTCAATAAAACTTTATATAGAAGCAGGCGATGAGATTTGGCCTGTGGGTCATCATTTGCCACCCTTTGCTCTATAGGAACCCGCTCAGTGACTGCCTAGTCTTGCTTGGTACTGTGTACACATCCATGCCTTTGTGTAGGTCATAACCCTCACAACCATATGCAGTTGCTCATGGAGCCAATGCTGATGCAGCATCAATTTCATTCATTTAACAAATATGGACATCCACTCAATATAGTTTAGGAACTCTAGTGTAGTCCAGTAGAATGGCTTAGTGGCATAATGAACAAAAAATTAGGGAAGTATCACAGGTCAGGTAAACTTCTTTTCTCTGTTCCCTGGTATACTCCATCTCTTTCTCCTTGTCTAATTCAAGAATACTCAACTTTCTGTCCCGAAGTATTAGCATACCACGTCTTCATACCTATGAATACTTTAACCAGAATTCCCTCCAGAGATCTTTTAATAATCAGGAAGCCTACCCTGAACCCCAGATCACTTTGGATCTGGCCCCTTCACTGCTAGATGATAAGTTCCCTGAGGGCAGAGGACATGTCTATTCTTTCTTGGTGGCTACAGTCTCAGTCATAAAAGAATGTCTGGTACCTATCAGTATTCAATACATGGTTTTTCCATTTCCCAATTGACTCCTTGATAGACTTGAGTGAGTCAACAGGAAAAGAGAAGTGAATGTTTGTTTTGAAGCAAATATTGCATATTTGATGTTAGACATGTTGAATATAAGGTAACAATGAGATATTTCAGAAAAGAAGCTCTAAGGTTGCTTGGAGCTATCAGACTAGAACTCTTATTCACAGATAATTGTTCAATTGTATGTACATGGCATGAAATAAAGAATGACTATTTCATATTTAGCTCTTTAAAGAATGTTCAACAATAGTTTATCCTTTTATCATATTTTAGCTTAAGAAAATAATTTGTTTAAATGACAAAAATGTTTTATTTTATAGAATAATTTTTCATGATAATTATATATTAGCTATCTTAGTTTTTGTGTTGCTAACAGAGATACCTGAGACTGGGTGATTTATAAAGAAATAGGGTTTTGTTTTGTTTTGTTTTGTTTTTAGTTTTGCTATATGTGTGCACTTGCCAGAGAGAGACCAAATGGTGGCAGGGTGGAGTGAGAAATCACCCTCTAGGATGGATGGCCACACTGCAATCCCTTCTCCTCCAGGCTCCTCTTGGGATTTTGGTTACACATGAACATGCACCCAGCATGATTTTCAGGTCACTGGGTCTAGGACTCAAACTACGCAGCTGGCCATGTGGGGTCCAGATGCCTTTACCTCCATGCCATCTGCTGGCCCCAAGAAATAGGGATTTATTAACTCACAGTTCTGGTAGCTGGAAAGTCTGAAGGTGTAGGCCCAGCATCAGGCTGGCCTACAACATCTGACAGCATCTGACAGAAGCATAGAGAATGGCAAGTGTATACAGAGAGAGAGAGACAGCTACAGGAAGTGCTCTTTCTTTTACAGCAAACAGCTCTTATGAGAATTAAACCCTTCTCTTGAGAACTAGAACTCACTGGATCTCTTGAGACACCATTTATCTCCTCATGAGAGGGTTGCCTCTCTGTAATGTAATCACCATGATCCTATCATTACGCATTAGACCTTATCACTTCCCAACATCAAATTTCAAAATAAAAAACTTTGGGGAAGAAATCACTACTCAGATCATACCAATAGCATAACCATGTCAATATTTTTACAACAAAATGCATGACTCATTCTTTATTTCTAAAAACTATCATTATGCTTTAAGTTACTGGGCAATTAGCAGTTTTGTTAAATAAGTGTACAACAAATTATAGCTAAAACTTACAAAACCCAAGTGTATAAAACAATATAAAATAAAATTTTATTATTGTAAGACAAATCAGTTCAGACCAATTTCCACTTTTTAAACAAATGTTCTAGATATCAGACACTAAGATACTACATTTCTTGTCACAATAGTACATGGAAAGATTCTATTTGATGACTATTTTATTTTATTTTTTTTTTGGGGGGGGAGAGGTTTTTGCTATAGGGCATATGCACTTGCCAGAAAGACAGAGAGACAGCGAGGCACAAAGTGAGAAATCACCCCCCAAGGGGGATGGCCACACCACAATCCCTTCTCCTCCATTCTCCTCTCGGGATCTTGGGCACGCACGCACATGTGCCTAATGTGAATTTAAGCCACTGGGTCTGGGACTCGAACCGTGGCCAATAATTTGAATTTAACCCCATGGGTCTGGGACTCGAACCGTGGCCAACTACATGGGAGTCCAGCAACATAGCCATTACGCCAGCTGCTGGTCCCTCTATTTGATGATTATTAAAAGATCTCTGGAGGGAATTCTGGTTAAAGTATTCATAGGTATGGAAACCCTAAAATTAACAAGTAATTTTTACAAAATGATAGTTAAACCAACATTTCCCTTTTCTATTCTACTTTATCCCATTAGATGAGGAGTTCCGAACTGGGCATTTAGGGACCCAAGGTAGTCCCACATACATGATTTGTTCAGTTAAACATTTTCCCAAAATTTGTACTTGACCACCTTTAGAAGATGACTATCCTATCTAGGTCTTTCCCCAAGTTAGCTACAGTCCTCACTGTTCTCTATTAAAATGTGGCCTGCCTGTCTTTGTATAACCAAGCCAAGTAACAGCATCCAATAAAAGTTTCAAAGTTTCATTTTGTGGCAAAAGGTCACTTTTTATATCCAGTCTGGAAGTGACTTTTCAACTATTAAATGTCATAACCTCTTAGATTTATTTTTTAAAAATGAAAATATCTTAGACTAAATTGAAGAGTATTTGAGGTTGAGTAGTGCTTTTAGGTTTCGAAAGTGGTTTGCCACTCCTACACTGTTGGTGGGAAGGTAAATTGGTCCAGCCACTGTGGAGAACAATGTGGAGGTTCCTCAAAGATCTTCAAATAGAACTACCATATGATCCAGTAATTCCATACCTGGGTATCTACCCAAAGGACAGGAGAATGCTCAGTCAGAAAAGTGCTTGCACAAATATGTTTATTGCAGCACTATGCACAATTGCTAAGACATGGAACCAACCCAAATGTCCACAAACAGATGAATGGGTAGAAAAAAGTGTGGCACATATACTCCATGGAATACTATTCAGCCATAAAAAACAACAAGGCCATGAAATTTGATAGAAAGTGGATGAATATGGAATATTTGTTGCAGAGTGAAGCAAGTCAGGCTATGAAAGACATTGTACATCTCCACTTAACATATACTGACTGTCCATACTCTATGGTAGAGACGGAAAGACTAGAGGACATAAGAGCATTAAAAATTGTTATGGACACTAGAGACAAAGTAGGAGGAGAGTGTGGGAGGGGAAACGCATAGGAAAGGAAATATTGGGGGAAAAAAAGAGAGATAAGACATTTGTGGGACACAGATATGGTTTATTATCTGTTGATGAGGATGTGTATAGTATTCTCAACTGGGGTGGACTGAGGTGTATATCACACTGAGTAAAGTCTCTTTAAAATCTAAATGATGGACAGTGATTGAATGTGTAAATAATAATACTAATAATAAATAAATAAATAAATAATAAAAAAGAAAGTGGTTTCCCCATATCTACCTCACTAGATCTAACAAGTGCATGAGGAATGTATTTAACATTGAGCTAGATTTTTAACAGTATGATGGCACCCTGGGAAGTAAATGAGCCATTTTGAGATGGTGAGTGAACTGTTGAAGCCTACTGAAATGCTACTTTGTTCGCCAGAGCAGGAAT